TCGCGCGTGGAGAAGCACCATACGGGACATAATTGGGGCCGGCTAGATCAGTCATGATTGCAGCCGTAACAAGTACAAGTAAGTACAGCTGATTCGTCTTTTCTACTACTGTGTGACGTAGTCCCAAGAGGATTAACCTCCTGGATGATCAACTGAGATTGCTGGTAATTATGAGGGTGACAGTGATGACTGAATGCTCTACTCAGAAGAACCTAATCGAAAGCCCATGAGCATAGCTGCCTACATACAGCATGTTACGTACCCCATAAAATATTAACCAAGATGCTAAAATGTGCTTTTTGTTTCGAATTTATTTACAACAAATTACGCTTTCTCGATGTTTTCTACTGAGAAATGGTATACTTGGATCTTAATTTTAGCTTTTCAATTCTCGAATTCAGTTGAAACCGAAGCGTCGCTGCACTACAACCCATAAGCTGTACACTTTACTAATCTTACGTGCCTCGATGTTGTTGTACAGACGTCATATAGGGCCCTTCCATGGACCATATCGTATCCACCGTAAGGGGCATTTATGAACGGGCAGATACAGTGCCATTTGAAAATAACATTTCATGATCTTAAGGAGTCGCATACTTTCAAACTTTTAGATAAAATACTGCCACTTTAATCAGAAAATGTGAACATGTAATTCACAACAAAATTCGTTTAAAAAGACGATAGTTGTGAAAATTCATTCTTTGAAATGGTCGAATTCATAAAGGCATTAAAAATCCGTGAGAATAATCCTTTGGCGAGTGTGATTTTTACAGACAGTCAGAAAAACGCATGACTGAAATAACTTGAGACTTTGCTGCCACTCCAACTAGGTAAACTATTTTCCCTGAAATTGACTTTTAGAATTGCTGCTAGCATTCCATAATTTACGTCATCCACGGTGCGCCTTCGCTAAGGCAATCCACCTCCTCTGTGTCTAAGCCTTTACCACTGACAGAAACTAACCCAGAAAAGAGGAAGGATAGTGGTGATGGGGTCATAGGCGAATTCCGAAAGTAAAAGTAAAACTCAAAACCCTCATCGGGCAGTTTATCTGCTCAGCAACCGCAGAGCCAAATATCGTTTGTAAATGCGCAAGCAAATCCAACCAATCTTGTGTTTTTTACCGTCATTTTACAGGCCATCTTGGCTCTGAATTTCTCCTAGATTAGGGCAGCATAGTTGAGCCGGAGTCTAGGCTGTAATATAACCATGCCTAATACTAATCCTAATGATAGCTGTGACGTTAGCGGTGTAGAGTAGAGTATACGATACTGACGAGCGAAATAACAACATAAACGGAATAGAACTGACTCAGTGTCTTGTAGATGCGTTCCGCAGCACCGGTGTTGTAGACATCAACAGCAAGTGCGGCACCGCAGGATGGGCGATCGGCGGCCTGCGACGGTAAGGTAGCTGGACAGGGAAGATGGCAATGCTCAGGGGTCAGCGGGGATGACGACGACGATGGCAACGTGCGATCACACCAACAGTGTACGCTACCCTGGAGTCCCGCGTAGGCAAACCCAGCAGACCGACAGGAGGCAACACAGAAGGCGGGTGAATTGTTTTGCGGCGAGGTGTAGTGAACAGCAGACAGCGGCGGTTTGGTGGGATTGTGGGCAAAACAACCCAACTTGGTTGGCGGCTTGTTCATTCCAGCTATCGACGAAAAGACAGCACAGAGTAACTGGCGCGCCTGACCGATTCAATGGGTTTCATCATAGGGGGGGAGGTGTGTCGCTCACCTTGGAGAGGACAAGAATTCGTCAGGTGATGTATACGACGGAAGGAGCCGTCATGTTTCTGTGCGATAATAAGATCCTGGCATGATGTTAGAGGGGCTGCGACACTGGAAGGGGAGCTAGTGTGGTGTCGATCAAGAAGGCATATCTATGAGAGCACAGATTGTAACGAATAAATCTAACTTACCAACGAAACATTAATAATCGCAAAAGCGAAGAGAAAGAGAAGCACGAACTTCTTACGGCGGGCAAACATGGCCAGAAATCCTTGAGATGATTGGGGGAGGAATCTTGGAATTGTCATGGTTCAGGGGTCTGACGTTCATCTAACACCCAGTCTGCACATTTCTGATTGCAACTTTTAAAAAAACAGTCAGACAACAGTCTACAGTCCACATGTCTAACAAAAAATTACAAGAGAGGGCAGGAAGTGGACCAAGTGGAAGGCTTGGAAAGTACCTGAAAATACTTAAGCAGGTGACTTTATCAGTTCAAAAATGGGTTATGCAAGTAGCTGGTAGAGCGACGATATACATATACAGGAAATGTGGTGGCGTGCGATTATGGAAAATGTACAACATACAAGATAACCATATGTTGTCGAATACGATACTGTCAACGGTTCCGGGCTAACAGTATTTTAAACTAACTCTTGAAACGCATCAGCATTTACTAACAATTAGGACCGACCGAAGACTAGGTCAACCGCTTACCATAGGTAGGACTTTAATAGGTATTGTTCGACTAATAGGTTACACTTATAGCTAAGAAGCTGGCTCTTAAATCGGACAAATCGTGATGAGATTAAAAGGTGTGCAAGCTAATCTTCTTGAACATGAACGGACCCCTCAGATGCGAAGGCCATGTGAGTCATATGAAGAATCCGTCCATTTTAGTTTTGGATTCCCAGTTTGCTTTTTGGGATACCCAAACCGGAGAGGTACCTCCTACTTCTCTTTCCCCGTAATCGCTCATGTAAGTCACTAGTTAGTTTAGGCAACCACACCATTGTAATCGCCCAACCAATTATGCTAGCGTGGTTCGGTCAACAACCAACTTGTATAAGGACGCCTAAACGGAAAGTACAGCAACTTTGCTGCTACCTCTACGTTATGCCAACCAGTAAGGATGATAAATTTGGCAATATCGTCTAAGTTTATGTTATTTATAGCTCTGCCAGATAATAAATCTATTGTAGAATTTCGTTCATCTCGAAATTTCGAGTGTAGCAATGGATATCGTTGGCCGTGGAAGCAAAAAGGTTTTGATAAACGGTGTCTGATAACCAGATCTGGAAAGAAGCATATTAGTCTAGTTCCAAATGGTGTGATCCAAATTCGTCGCAAGGACATTATCAAGCATCTTACTCCATACAATAAAGATATTCTTGCTTGTACAAGAGATGACGTAGCAAATAGTTTAAAAGTAGACTCAATAAATTCCACCTAGCTCTCAGAGAGTAGTGTGTTATACCAAGCAACCACTGGTCACCGGCAAATAATAATTAATTGAACCTGCCAGATTCGCCGCCAACTGCTGCGCACGGAGGCAGCAGGGCGTGGCGGGGGATAGGGAATCAAGTAAGTCTGAATGACTCATTGTCGCGGTCGTATATGTGGCTATCACGGATGCACCATATGCAGCTTCGTAGCAACGGGACGTTTGAGCTAGCTGTGGTTACGCTACTGGAGCCTTTTCCGGTTTAGGAGACGGCCCATTTAAATTATCATTTAAAAACGGAATATAAGAGAAAGAATTCGGTATGA